GGAGTTGAAGTCCACAAGTCTTAAAGTTGCCAAGGTTGGAGACCTCTGATGTAGCAGCCTTTTCGCCTCCCAAATCTCCGAGGCGGCTTTCCTGCCTCCGCCGCAGCCCTTCTGCGGGCGATAGGGTAGAGCTACTCGGACAGAACTTCCTGTCTCCCTTCTGGGCCACTTGCCCTCCCCACGCTTCCTTCCTTCCCTGGGTCGTGTCTGGCCGTCTCCACACGCTCTTAAGAGAAGCTGAGAACGTAACCCATCCAAACCTGCCATGCAAATTTAAGGCTGCACTGGGTTTGCCTGCAAGACTAGTCCGCCCGAATTAAAATACGGTTATTTTGTTTTTAGGGTCGGTGTATTGCGAGTCCAGGCAATTTGGTTAATTAAATACGCCGTGTTCCAGCGGGCCTTGAGTCAGCATATTGCCCAAACAGTAATTAGGACTGCAGAAAAAAAAACAATTACTACCAACCTGCCTTCCATTGAGCACCCGTATCCTGCATGAGTCAAAAAGAGGGCTGTGAAAATATCTACAGACCCCTCACATCCTGGACATAAACTGTTTCAACTCCTTCCCTCAAAGGGACACTATAGAGCCCTGCACACCGGAACAACTAGACACAAGGAGTTTTTTCCTGAACACCATCAAATAATTCCCACAATACTGCCCAACTATTTACAAAGTCTGCACTATTACTATTAATCTTCTCATCACTCCTTATCGCCTATCCCCTCCCACGTGACTATGACTGTAACTTTGTCTCTTGTATCCTTACAATTTATATTGACTGTTTCCTAGTATGATTTGATGGCTTATTGTACCCTCTGACTATCATTGTGTCATACCTTATGATTCTCGACTCTTGACGAAGGTATCTTTTCTTTTATGTATACTGAGAGTATTTACACCAAAACAAAATCCTTGTGTCCAATCACACTTGGTCAATAAAGTATTATATTCTATTCCATGTTATATAGCTATATTTAAGGCTGCGATACATGCTCATCTATTTTTTTCACATTTTTTCTGCTGGAACTCTTCCAGCAATCCAGATCATGACAGTTATTAGCTAAATCTCTCCGTGCTGCCCACACGAGCCAAATCAAAATCCTTAATCCTGAAATTGCATGTTTCAAGCCCCTGACAACATGCAACTTTAGAAAGGAAGCGGTGGCCACAAGCTTTCAATCGAGGTTGCTGGACTACAAGCATTCGACAAGCGCTTACTTCATTTTCAGCTACACACTTGTAATTTTAATGCCATCGGTTTCATTGGTGTCTGCCCTTTGCAAGAAGCCCTGCCCACTTTGAATGTGTGCAGTTAGCAATTAACTTGGAAGTATACCCTTGCGAAAGGAATCCTGTATCAAAAAACTGCCTGCCATTTTTCAAATATTTGTTGTCAGCTATTTCTCAAAAAGCTTTTCTTTCAACATTTAAAAACCAAATCTCAGTGTTGGGAAGAAAAGCAAGAGGCTTACATACTGGCTCTACATTTTTTTATTCTTGATTTTAATCAGAGCTCGCCCAGATCTTCTGGCCCTCAGAAATCAGAGTCCAATGGCAGAAGAGGATGAGGAGCCGCCATTACGCCCCTAGAGTACAAGAAGCGTTACCGGTGTGGGCAATTCTCTGCCCCCGCAGCACTTCCCCCACCACCACCATGACGTGAGCTTTCAGTCCTCGGTGCCAGGAAGCAGCCGCAGCCGGTCAGAGGGTCTTCCAGGAGAGTCCCGGTCATTCCTGCCAAGGCTGCCAGTGGGAAGCGCCTCCTCCTCCTCCTCCTCCTCCTGCTGCTGCTAATTGACTCGGCAGGCGCGGATCATGAGGAGCTGAAGCAGGATGAAGACGGGCGACATGATGAGCCCGTACCAGAGCGGCTCGTGGCTCTGCTCGCCCAGCTTCTGGCAGAGCAGCATCTCGAAGACGAACTTGAGGCTGAGCAGCGTCAGGATCCAGAAGAGGCGCAGCACGGCCAGTCGCTTCTCGCCGTCCTGGAAGAGGCGCACCGACACGATGGCCGTGAAGTAGGTGCTCAGCCCGTCGGCGGCGAAGAGCGGCGCGAAGACGCTCCACCAGCTCAGCCCGGCCGCCGCGCCGTCCGCCTTCAGCGCCAGCAGCCCCGAGGTCGCCAGCAGCGCCGCCGCCTGCAGCAGCAGCTCGAACGGCGCGAAGCCCAGCCACTGCACCAGCTCCCGCAGCGAGAACAACATCCCCGGCCACAGGCTCCGCGGAGCCGCCCCGGCGCTTCCGGCGCGCTCCGGTGACGAAGGCGGGCGCGGGGCTCGCGCGCGAGGGGCGGGGGGGGCGTGGCAGCCCCGGCCAGTGGGACGGCGCGTGCGCTTGGCCCCAGCGGAGGGAGCGTCGCCGGGCGGCCGGCAAGAGCGGCTTCCCCGCCACCTCCCGCTGCGCGCATGCGCCCTCCGCCCCAGGGCGCCTCCTGAGGCGGGAATGGGCGAAGCAGCCCCGGCAGTTCCCCGCGGAGCCGCGTTTCCATCCGCCGCTCGGCTGTCCCGGCGCCACGGACGAGGTCAGGCGGGGCAGCTGCTGTTCCCGCGACCCGTCAAAGCGGCGCGGCGCTCGGCCGGGGGGGTCGAGCTCCTGGGGGGGGGGGGGGGGGGGGCGCGAGGTCGCTGGCCGTAGAGAAGCGAGAAGCGCCTGTAACTCCGGACGGGGCTCAACATGTTGGCGTGCAAACGGGAGCATCCCCACAAGACTGAGGTGCCGTTGGGATACCGTGAATCTGGAGGGAGGGCAGCTTCCCTGAAACCTCCAGGCTCCAGTGTGGAGCTGCTGGACGTGACTTCTACTCCCCCGGGAGCCTCTCAGGCGGCCCTCCTCCTCCTCTGCCTTCCTGAAATGTGCAAAGACACTCTAAGTGGTAGTTTTAAAATATATGTGTGTGTGTGTGGCGTGTGTATGTATATATGTATACATATATGTATTTATATACATATATATGTATGGTATTTAGGTTTCTTCGGGTATTTTCCCACGTCTTAATATTTGTGCTTTTATTATAGCGACGTTTCGGCAGAATCTCATCTGCCAGAAAACAAATTTTATATATATATACATACATACATACATACATACATATATATATATGTATATGTATATGTATATGTATATGATGTATATGTGTATGTATATACACACACACACACACACACATTCTATATCTTTATATCTATCTATCTATATATTCTATATCTTTATATCCATCTATCTATATATATTTGAGATAGGTGATGGATAGATAGATAGATATAGATATGGATATAGGTACCGTGTTTCTCATATAATAAGGCCGGGTCTTATTTTGTTTTGAGCCCCGAAAAAATGGCTAGGCCGTCTTTTCGGGGGTGACTTCATTCCCCTGCCCCCTTGCATCTTCGGCCGGGCGGCGACGGCTTGGATGTTGACCTCAGCGTTGGTGGGGCACTTTGTATCAGGGTCAACGCAGAGAGCACCATATCCGGGTGTGCAACAAAAGTACTTCCTAACAGCAAGCCCCCCCCCGCCATTTCCCCATTTCACATGTTTTAATATAGGCCTTAATTTGGGGGGAGGGGCTTAATTTCATTTCATGCCTATAAAACATGCTGGGACTTCCTATTGGGGGAGGCCGTATTGTTGGAGAAACAGGGTAGGTCGTTAGATTAGGTAGGTGGGTAGGTAGATAGATGATATAGATTAGATATAGATATATAGATATTTGTTTTCTGGCAGATGAGATTCTGCTGAACCGTCGCTATAATAAAAGCACAAATACTAAGACGTGAGAAAATACCCGAAGAAACCTAAATACCATACATATAATACCCGCGAAAACATAAGAAAACAAATATATACATATACGTATATCATACATATGTACATATATATGTACATCATACATACACACACAAAATAAGGGGCACAGATCTTATTTTATTCCACAAACGCTTCTACGGTCACATGTAGGCATTACAATACATCTCATTTTATACATGAGTAAATTTGGCAGGACAAACCTGTTTTGTCTAAAACAAGGCCGTGTTTAGCCTTGGGATCTTCTTTGAATTGCTCAGGAGGCGGCAAGTAGGTACATCTGGGCTGAAGTCGAGAGAAAAAAAATCCATTTTCTCTTTCCGCTGTTTCCACTTAACAACTTAAACTGGGAAAGTTGTGCCTCCTAATGTCTGGATGTTTCCATCCTGCTCCCCCCTTCAGATGGCAGCCCGGAAGATGCTTGTGCTTTATGGCAGCCAGACCGGAACTGCCCAGGATGCCGCCGAGAGGGTTGGCCGAGAAGCCAAACGATGCCATTTCCACTGTAAGGTTGAGGCCCTGGACGACTACCAAGTGGTGAGTAGCAGCTCAAGGTTTTAAAAGTGGTTTCGGCTTACATATCGATAGAAAGCCATCCCGCCTCAGCTTAAGCCGTGGCGTAGACCAGTGGTCGCCAACCAATGGGCCGGGAACCACTGGTGGTCCGTGAGAAAACATTGGTGGTCCGCAGAGAAATGTCACCCCCAAAGCAATTAATCCAGGCTGTGCAGGAACACAAGGCTTGTGTTGCTTGCATTGCGAACAACACGAGGTAGTGAGGGGAGAGGGGAAAGGGCGGAGGGGGGGAACTTGCCCCACTTACCCCACGCGCCTGGCCTGGCCACCATGCTGCTTCTTTCCACTTCTGCTTTTGGCTGAACGCAAGGAAAGCAACAGAAATCTTTCTTTCTCTCCCCCAAACTCTGCCAGAATTGAGTCTTTGGGATCCTGCAAGGCCTCCTGCTCCAAGAGGCAGCGCAAGCAAAGACTCATTTCTGGTGGAATTTGGGGGAAAGAAAGAAAGACTTCTGCTGCTTTCCTTGCATGAAGCCAAAAGTCTCTCTCTCCCCGTGACAACAGAGCTGGAGATGGTATCCTGCGATCCCAAATAAAGAATGATCAATTGGTAGGAAAACGGGGTGGGGAATTTTCCTGCAGATTTTTTTTTTTT